ATGTGCAGCAGTACCGGGACCAGAGTGAATAGGGTGTGTATGGGGAGCATGAGTGGGTGTCCGGCGTGCATTTTTGTAAGTCTTGGGTTGTATGTGCATGTGTGAGAATGAGGGAGGGAGTGTGTGACTGTGTTTGTGTATGACTGTATATGTCAGGTGGGGCCTTTGGGTCCTCCCCTCTCCTGGAACTTCTCTTGATGATATAGATCTCTGTCCCCCCTCCCCCTGCCACACCTGGTGCGGGGGCTTGTGCCTTGGTCTGCCTGAGTGTTCGTGGCAACCGGGTCTGGGGGTTTAAGATTTTGGCATCTGCCTGTTAGATCCCGGTGGCTGCCTGGTGGGGTCTGGGTCCCTGGGCTCTGCTGGGTCCCCGGCGGGGGTGGTCGCCCCTGGGTCCCGGGTCGCTGGGTCCCGCGCTCGGCCGGCTAGGGGGTGGGAGGCTGCGGGCGGGCCTGTGGGCTTGCCGCTGATATCTCCGGGGACTCTGCCGGCTGCTGGTTGTGGCCCCCCGGGGCGATCCTCTGTGCCTCTCGAGGGGGGCGGGGGCCTTCCTGGTTGCAGTCTCCTTGGGGTTCCTGCGTTCTGGGGCAGTGCCTGGATCTCTGGGACTTGGAGCTCCCCCCGTCTCCTGCACATCTTTGGGGGGCGGATCTGTGGTCCCTCACACTCTCTGTTGGGCGCTCCTATAGAAAAACCTTAAATAAACAAGCGCGTGTACACACACAGGTGCTCACATGGTGCTCTCAAAAGTATGGGCTTGGGCACGTTAAACACAGGTCTTAAGACTATGGTGGGAACTTAATGCGTTGTGATTTATTATCGTGATTCTTCAGTTAAGCAATATTGATTATATATATATTTTTTTTCTTTTCATCAAGTTGACGCAGTGATAGGTAGATCTTGTTGTATTGTTGTTGTGTCCCTTTTTTTGTGTCCCTTTGTTTTTTTTTTTGTCTTTTTTTTCTGCAGGTCTAGAAGCAGACTCTTGCTCATTTTTGTTTATTTTTGTGGACCCCCCCCCCCCCCTCTCTCTCTCTCTCTCACCACCTTTTCTTTTCCTTTCTCTTTCACCTCTGTCTCCGTGTCTGGTCGGAAATACAAAGCATTCAACAACAATAACAATAAAGTTTTAAGTATCAGGCGTGACATTAAAAGCAAACGCTTTGATGCTCCACCTGAGAATAAATCTGTAAGGCTTGTCACCAGCATTCAGACATCAATTCTGCTTGCTTCACAGCCAGACAGGACACGTTAAAAAAATCTATCCTCTTGAATTGGAAAAATAGAGATACTCTTTGCATCAACCAGTATAGAAATCTTTTGTTAGATCATATTACACTTGATATAGCCTTTGCTTCCACTTCATATCAATCTCTCTGGGCTCCTTTGATCGGTTCCATCACATAGCGATGATGGGGGACCATTGATATTGTCCTACGGGATAATGTGGGTGGAGGGTCTGAGTTTGGAGTATCTGGACGTTCCCTGGAGGTGGGTTCACTAGGGGTGTCTGGGACTGGGGGGCCGTTGTCCCCCTGTGGAGGTGCTTGGGTTGCCTAGGGGGGTGGAGAGGTGCTTGGGTTGCCTAGGGGGGTGGACTACTGGCGGTTGTGAGTGGGGCCCCTTGGAGGTCTTGGCGGTGGCCATGGGTCACTGCCCGGCAGCTGCATTGCCCCTTGGTAGGTCTGGGTGGGAGCCTGGGGGCTCGGGGTGTGGGGGTGGCCGGCCCTGTGTGGGGATCTGGGCAGGGCCTTGGGGGTCAGGTCCTGACATGTTCCTGACATGTATGCTGCCAGGGGGAACTTGCAGCAGTGCCTGACTCGGGTTCAGGGGCCTCGGGTAGACCTTGGCTCCTCTGCTGTCCCATCACAGGGGAGGGGGAAGTCCAGGAGGGGGAGGACCCAACCTTAACTGGATGTCCTACGTCTTTTATAATCCGAAAGTTGTGCAAATGTAGGGATAGGCGTAGATATTTTATTGGGATGGGGCTGGGTTGGTGCCCTCAGACTCCGTGAGGCTCTGTGATGCTGCTGCTTTGGACCCTGGCAGGATGGGCTGGGGGTCTCCATGCTCTGGGTGGCATTTTGACAACAGAGGTGCCTATTAGGGTCAATGGGGGAGCTGGCTCCCTGGAGGGCTAAGCCCAACCAGCCATTCCTCCCCATCCCCACAAATTTCTCTCCTCCTGCTCCCTCACATCATCACACAAACATGCACATAGGACCTTGGGGGGTGGACAAGTCAGGGAGTGCGGGTATGGACCCCATTTCCGCATTCCTGTGGTAACCTGCCCCCCAATTTTATTTGCACCTTAAACACTTCCACCAATGACATTCCAAGCAAACACACACTTAGGGCCTTGGGAGTGAGCACATCCATCTGCATTTGGCAGGGGAATCCCTCAGCCTCATCCCAAGTGCCGGTGCCCACTTCCAATTTTAAACTGCATTTAGACACTGAGGGTTGTGGGGGGAGTGGGGGTGTAAGGTGGCATCAGCTGGCATAGGCCGGACAATGCCCGCACTGCCCGCTCACCACAGCCATGGAATACACCTCATCAACATGCACCAACACCATATTGGAGCAGGCGGAGGGAGATTAGGGGTCTTACCACACCTCTGTTGTCGCTTGGCTTCCTGGGGCTGGAGGCTAGGAGGGAGATCCGGCTGTCCGGTTGGGGTCTGGGGTGGTGGGTTGCTGTGCTCAGTGTTGGGCGGGGGAGCCTGCTCATCAGCACCCCAGCAAAAAGGGTTGAACTCTGGGAACCGGTAATGGTTGTACCCCATGTGCAACAGCACCGCGACCAGAGTGAATAGGGTGTGTATGGGGAGCATGAGTGGGTGTCCGGCATGCATTTTTGTAAGTCTTTGGTTGTATGTGTATGTGTGAGCATGAGGGAGGGAGTGTGTGACTGTGTTTGTGTATAACTGTATATGTCAGGTGGGACCTTTGACTCCTCCCTTCTCCTGGGACTTCTTTTGATGATATAGATCTTCGTCTCCCCTCTCCCTGCGGTGCCTTGGTCTGCCTGGGTCGTGGCTCCCAGGTCAGGGAGTTGAAGATTTTTGGCATCTGCCTGACCAATCCCGGTGGCTGCCTGGTGGGGTCTGGGTCCCTGGGCTCTGCTGGGTCCCCGGCGGGGGTGGTCGCCCCTGGGTCCCGGGTTATTGGGTCCCGGGCTCGGCCGGCTAGGGGGTGGGAGGCTGCGGGCGGGCCTGTGGGCTTGCCGCCGATATCTCCCGGGACTCTGCTGGCTGCTGTTTGTGGCCCACCGGGGTGATCCTCTGTGCCTCTCGAGGGGAGCGGGGGCTTTTCTGGTCGCAGTCTCCCTGGAATTCCTGTTCTCTGGGGCAGCTCCTGGATCTCTGGGACTTGGAGCTCCCTCCGTCTCCTGCACATCTTTGGGGGGCAGATCTGTGGCCCCTCACACTCTCTTGGATGCTCCTATAGAGAAACCTTACATAAACAAGCGCGTGTACACACACAGGTGCTCACATGGTGCTCTCATAAGTATGGACTTGGGCACGTTCAACACATGTCTTAAGGCTATGGTGAGCACCTAATGCACTGTGATTTATCATTGTGTGATTGTTCAGTTAAACAATGTTGAGTATATATTTCTTCATCAAGCTGACGCAGTGATAACTGGATCTCATTGTATTGTTGTTGTGTCCCCTTTTTTTTGTTTTATTGCTTTTTTTCCCTCCTCTCTTTCTGCAGGGCTAGAAGCAGACTCTTGTTAATTATTGTTTATTTTTGTGGAACAACCCCCCCCCCCCCCCCCCCCCCCATCTCTTCCTTTCTCTCTCTCCTCTGTCTCTGTGTCTGGTCAGAATTAAAAACATTCAAAAACAACAACTATAACGTTTTAAGTATCAGGCGTGACATTAAAAGCAGACGCTTTGATGCTCCACCTGAGAGTAAATCTGTAAGGCTTGTCACCAGCATTCAGACATCAATTCTGATTCCTTCACAGCCAGACAGGACACGGGGGGAAAAAAAAGAAAAATAAATTCAGCGTAAAAACCTCCCTTTGTACTGCAGTGTTGCTGTTAATTTTCAGAGTTAAAACATATTTTTTAAATGACACTTTATAGTGTTACCTGTCAAGTGTTAAAGAAAATTTACTCTTTTGGAGTTACTATTACTCTATACTATAGTGTTGATGAAAATGACTCCAAAGCAGTGTAAAAAGTACTCTAGTAAGCTCCGCCTTCTTCTTCCTCTCCTTCTTCAGTTGCAGAGGGCAAGGTGCATTGTGGGTAGTCATGTTTTTAGTTGGTTTGTCTTATTTTGGGGTCTTTATGCATGCCTTTTTTTGAAGGGGGGGGGGGGGTATTGTTCATAGGTATTTCTTTGCTCACTGTTGCAAATGTGGTGTTACTTGTGCCATGTTGGCACCGTTAGTGAGGAGGTCGTTCAAAGGAATGACATTGCTGTGTTGTTCCACTTTTCATTATAAGGTGTGGTCCATGCTAAGTGGTCAGCTGAATGCTTCGCATTTAGTTCTGCTCCCATTGACTTTTTTGCAGTCATGTGGTGTGTGACACATGAGCCAGCTTCCTGACTCAACAGCTGTAACAATATTAACACTGTTAAGAGTTAAAATTTCAGATTTGTCATGGAGTTAATTTAGAACAACACTAAAAATAGCAGTGTCATACTGAAATAACACTTTGAGTGTTACTTATCTGATAGAGTCAAAGTAATTTAACAATTGTGAGAGTTAAAGAAGTTTTACTCCAAAATGGAATTTAACTCTAATGAGTGTAAAATTGACTCTGAGTATGCAACATTGAGACCAATGTAACTTTTACAGTGTACAGGGTGTAGAAACGAGAAAACAGAGGACTGCAGAGGACAAGTGAATCTCCCCACTTTGGGGTTACTAAAGTCTATTCTATTATAGAGACCACAGCAACTGTATTAAATATGAGTGAAGGACCTCTTTAAGAGATATGTGACACCTGGACATTTGAAACTGAGTTTGGGTCACTCACCATGTGGTGCACTGGTCTCTGATGACCACCTGTCCTGGCTGTAATGTTTCACCATCCCAGTGACAGATGCATTGGCTGGCATTTACACACAGCCCCCCCTGCAGGTACAAGCCAAAGGGACAGCGACAACCTGAGGAAAACATGAAGTCCAAGTATGTATTTGAGCAATTAGCATAAATGTCAATGACTGCACTATTCAGAGCATGTGTACAAGGCTGCTTCTGGCTATATGTGGACTATGCAAATGCATGACACCCAAAGCTAATGCTTCAGCTTAACCTCAGAGAATTAAAAATACCTGTCTTCATTTCTTATGTTTTCAAAATTAAATGTGGTATGTATGACCAAAACAAATGTCAAAAATAAGACTGGCTGACTCCACTGTCATTCAGTGAGTGCCATCTGCAAGCTGGTATGACACGTGTGGTTGTGTGTAGATATTTGGTAGATTAGGAATTTCTCCATGACAGTTTGTCTAACTAGGGCCCCCCAACAGCATCTTGCATCAGTCCTCCACAAAGCTAGAAGCTGCCCAGGGCCCTCATTTATAAAACCTGTTCACACACAAAACAGGATCTACAAACTAAGTAAGTCGTTTTTATGTGAACTTGGTGATTAATGAAGAAAAGTTTAAGGAAAATGTTTTAACGAAGCCAACTCCAACCCTGGTGAAAGCACATTCTGGAGACGGGAAACACACACGCGCTCACACACACATGCACAGACACATGCGCGCACACACATGCATGTACACATGCACACACACACACACTTGCGCGCACACATACGCATGCGCACACACACACACACACATGCATGTGCACATGCGCGTACACACACATGCGTGCACACATATGCATACACATGTGCGCACACACACACACACACACATGTGTGCCCACACACACACATGTGCGCACACACACACACATGCACATACACATGCACGCACACACACACATGCACATACACATGCGCATGCACACACACATGCACATACACAAATGCGCATGCACACACACATGCACACACCAAACTCGGTGATCATTTGGGTCAAAGTGTTGTTTTAACACTGGACACCGGAGTTAAACATGTAACACTGGAATAGCGGACAGCTTTAAACACTGACAGTATAAATGAACTCTTTGGGAGATTTCATTTGACCTTTGAAATAGTTCATTTGTACTCTGAAAGTCTTTAAATTTCCACACTGTTATAGAAATTTTATGATTTATTATTATGATTAGGTTTTTTCATTCCCCAGATGTATTTTATGAGAAATGTAAAGCTCTCAGGGCAGCATCTCTTTGCAGTTTCATGAGCCTCACTTTGTGAGCAGATCTGCCCTGATTGCAGTAAGGTAAACGTGTAGTTGTTTGTTTCTCTCTTTGCTGCAGGTATTAGGTGATTTATAAAATCCCTAACATAACATTCAAATATGGGAAATAAGAACTCACAAACACCTTTGAGTAAAGATGGTACATTTATGGCCACAAAAGATCCAGAAAATGGGAAAATTATCAGAAGGTGGATAAAATACATGATTTCTCTGGTAATTTGGTGACTAATAAAGTTTTGGACTGTGAACTGTGTCACTTTGGTGGCTGACAGTGAAAGGGTTTTAGTAGAACCCCTTGGACTGAAACATTGACTGTTTAAAAGTACTTCTAGACCAATTAAAGCTAAGTATGTAGGTTTTTAGTGGCACCTCTTGGACAGAGAAATTGACTGTGTAATTAACAGTAAGTTCAGACCTACAAACACTAGTGACTATTGTCAACTTGCATTTATTATCTCCTTATTTTTATTCATTTATTTTTTAAATCTTTGTCTCTGACATTTAAAATAAGACAAAGGGAGTTTCAGCAGGAGTCAAATGACACCCTGGTGAAAGATCTGGTGAGCAGTGCCTGTTGGATTCAAAAACTGCATTTTGAACACTCTAAAAAATATTGTTTGTCATAAACCAACACGTTCTCACTCCCAGCGCGTCAAAAACAAACGCTTGGTCAGCCACCCTCCACGTCAGACCCCTGACGCCAAAAGTGCCCTTTTTCGTTACTTATGTGCGAAAAGGGGTTTTCCCTTATTTGACTGCAGATCCCAATGCAGTGTAAAACTGAAGCGATGGGATGTCTGCTACCGTTGCATCCCAATGCAGCGTTACACTGACTCGATGGGATGTTCGCAGCCAGGGCACCAAACAAGCTCATTGTACCTCACCTTAACCTTATCCTCTTATTTAACCTTCCCCTCACCCCTATCCTAACCTTAACAATCTTGCCAGCGAACACGTTAGTGATGTGTCGATCGCTCTAAAAGCCGGCTCTATGAAGTGAACGGCGGGAGCCGCCTCGTGATTGGTCGAGTTTGGACCGAGCCAATGCGAGGGGGAGGTTTCAACTACCAAGGTGGAGGTTAAAAGTAGAGGGTTTGTGTAACCTCCCCCTCGCCAGATGGTGTGTTCTAACGTTCCCCTTGGGCGGCAAATACGAAAATTCACAGTCAGACTCTGACTGTCAGAGTCAGAATGACGGGAAACAAACGCTTGATCACAGTGAGAGTAACATTTTAGGTAGCAAGAGGGTTAAGGTTAGGATGAGGGAGAGGGGAAGGTTATAAATAGCGAAACGTTAAGGTTTAGGTGCGGTTAAACGAGGTGGTTCGGTGCCGCATCGGTTAAATGAGCTGGTTCGGTGCCACATTTAAGGTTTAGGTGCGGTTAAACGAGCTGGTTCGGTGCTGCATCGGTGAAATGAGGGTTAAGGTTAGGATGAGGGAGAGGGAAAGGTTATAAATAGTGAAACGTTAAGGTTTAGGTGCGGTTAAATGAGCTGGTTCAGTGCCGCATCAGCGGATATCTAATCACGTCGGTTTTACGCTGCATTGGGATCTGCAGTTACAAAAGGGGAAAACCACTTTTCGCACATAAGTAACGAAAAAGGGCACTTTTGGCGTCTGGGGTCTGACGTTGAGGGTGGCTGACCAAGCGTTTGTTTCCGACGCTTAGGGTGTGAGAATGTGTTGCATAAACTGAATCTTCCTGGCATCTGTCAAATGTAGGAACTTGATCAGATCTTCGATTAGCAGACGTTGTGATCAGAACAAGGGGAGAAACTGTCAGAAAGTGAGACTAAAAAGGGGAAAGCAGATTGAAGCTGTTATAGGGACTTTACATGAAAAAAGCTTAATGTGGCCAGACAGTAACGTTTAAGTTCAAACAAATGCTTGCAGGGCTTGTGGAAAGGTAGATAAACAATGTCCACATGATGGGGAAATACTTCTTCACGTTTTCTCAGCTTGGGAACTTTTAAATGCTTTGACAAAAATACCTTTCATCATCCTGAAACTAAAATAGCCAGAACAAAGAGTCTTTGTACGGTACTAGAGCTTGTACAACTCTTTTACGCTCCTCTGTGCCTGGGTTAAGATAATCAGACACAACAATAGTAGTAAGAACAGCAGGGTCGTATCAAAAAGAACACACGTATCCTAACCGACCTTGGCCACAAGTTCGACAATATTCTACCAGCCAAGAGGCTGAAGCAGGAGTCAATCTTGCAGGGTGTATATGCTGGTGCTCACAGTCATGGCCCCTCACTTGGCCCGCCTCTCAGCACCTGACTGAACGACTGGGACAGCAGCCTCTGACGGGAGAACTGGAACTGGAACGATGGATTGGGGCTCTTCCCTAACCACACACCTATGTGACACAACGTAACCTGCACCCACCTTGGCTGAAAACCCCCTTGATGCAACTACAACAGGACACGGCGGCGAAGAGACACTGGAAAAGGATAATTGCTTCAATCACCTGCACCCAATCTCCAACCTGGTTTCACGGTCAAAGGATCTGAAGGACTTTCAGGGACAAGAACAGGACCCTGACAGGTGGAAAACCACCTCAACACGCCATGGAAGAACCCAGACGTCTCCCTATTGAGAAGTCGAGCTGTGTGCTTTCACATCCCAAACTCCATTCTTGCGTTCCAGACCTAGACTACAAGGAGCTCATCAACTTAAGACTGAAACCATCCTGATCGACGGATGAGGACTCGAACCGTTCCAACTTATTCTTCAACTGGGATTCTCATTTCACGGACAAGCCCTTTGATGAAAACACCTGGTTTGCCTCTGCTTCTGCCATAGTTAGAGCTGCGTAAATTAATACTACCTGTTCATTGTTTCCTCATTTACAGAAACAGTCGTGTGCAACCTGAAGCTTTAAGTTGATCTGATGTTTCAATAAACTCTACTGACGTTTTCTGTATATTATATGGTCTTGCTAATCCTTCCCAACCTCTTTACAGGAACCGCTATAAATTGTAGAATCGTTGCATCACAATACATGCACTTCAATATGTATGAAATAGCTCTTCTTAAGTTATGATGGTGTTGATTTAACTGATTTCCATCATCTCACTTGTATCTCTGTAAACTGCTTGTTGATGTTATTGTCAGTTGTGTTTGCCTTACCATGTTTTATTGTTTTGTTTCGTATTTGATTATTTTATTTTATTTGTTCTTTATTTTGTTGTGTTATTTTTGTTTGGTTATCCTATATGGGTAAACAGGAGGGATGTGCTATGGAAATTTTATGTTTTATTATTATGATTATGTTTTTCATTACCAAGATGTATTACTTTTGCTCATCTTGTAACTTCCTTATCTCACTTACACACACACACACACACACACACACACACACACACACACACACACACACACACACACACACACACACACACACACACACACTCTCTCTCGCTCTCTCTCTCTCTCACTCACTCACACAGACTGTCTTATATCTCTGTTCTTGTATAAATAAAGCTCTCAGGGCAGCATCTCCTTGCAGTTTTGTGAGTCTGACTTTGTGAGCATATCTGTTTCGATTGCAATACGGTAATTGTGAGGTTCATTGTCCCTCTTTTCTCTTCGACTGCAGGTATTAGGTGATTGTTAAAGTCGCTAAAAATGAACAATAAATATTGACTTTATCTATTTCTACTCTGTACGGAAGAGGATTTGAGCCACTGACAAGGGAAAAAAATAAGAAAGGAAAGAGAATTCTGACTTTTAACCTCGGGACAGGGAATTCTGGGGGAAAAGTTCGAATTCTCTTTCTTTTCTTCTTTTTTTTCTTTTCAGTGGCCCTAATCCTCTTCCGTACCTCTGACTTTACAGAGGGAACTGACCTTCGTTTAATACAAATTTTCTTTTCGTGAGGAAAATTTAACATTCAACTCTCCTGAACATCTTCACACTGTCTGTCTGTCTGTTTGTCTGTCTGTCTGCAGTAAAGAGTTACAGGAACTTTTAATTATAATCAGTGTTGGGCAAGTTACTTCAAAACTGTAATGCATTATTTATTACTTGTTACCCTCATTTTAAAGTAATTCATTACATTACAATATTACGTATTTTTAAATGTAAGGCATTACACTACTTTTGCATTACTTTAAGTTACTTTCACCAAAACAACTTCAATATGAATCTGGTCATGTGACGCTCAGTGAGCTCATGACATATATGTGGAAAGTGATGTGGTGTCTGAGCTAGGATTGCTGTTAAAAACAGTCAAATATAATAACAGTGTTTTAAAATGATTGTTGATTAAATAAAAGCAACAACAATCTGTACTCTCAGCACGCTGCCATCTTATATTAACTGATCAGGGAGTGAGGTGGTGGGGGCTCCAAGCCTATATTTGCCTTGGTCCCCAAATGCCTTGATACGGCCCTGGATGTGGGATTGACTTCTGGGGAGATCTGATTCTGTCACATGTATAAATATTAAATGTTTATATATTATTGCTTTTCACTGGTAACAATGTGTATTGGGGATAAATCTACCTACTTTTTTCTTTTCAAGCACTTTGTTTTGTTTTCTTGATTTTATGTGAATAATTTCCGGCCCTTTCTCTCTCTAACCTTCCTGCATGCTGCATGTTTTCTCTGTCTTCCAGAAAAACTGTTTCCTAGAATTCCTACTTTCTAACTAATCAGCCAAAGGGATCTACCGAACACACACAAAAAAAAAACTTAATATGCGCTGCGCTCCAGCAGCAATGAGTTGAAATCACTGGCGCACAGATTATGAACTCAGCTGAAAAGTACATGCAGTACCAGAGAATATGGGCTGATATAAACGATCACAAACGAATGACTTTGTTTTGGTGGAGTGATTTTGTGAACAGCGGCCGCGCACAGGACACAGCTGGAGTATTTGAGCCGTTACCGCTGCGTCCTCTCTGCTCATAGAATGCCCGCAAAACTGAGTACATAAATGACGTCATATATGTGGATACTGGATCTTTTTTCAGGCTTCCCGCAATTAGAATTTTTAAGGAACACATCTTGATTCTGGGTTTAAAAATGCATTGTAATTACCGCGTTACTGACAATTGTACCGAGTAAATATTACCATTGTCTTTCCCTTTAATGCCTTACATTACCACATTACAGCAAAAGCAATGCATTACTGTAATTAATTACTTTTGTACCGCGTTACTCCCAACAATGAGTATAATGAATGATTTAAATTCCATCTAGGGGTGGGTACTATCAAGTCATTCATATTATTACCAGTTATTATTTCCTGCCAAGAAAAACAATCTATCATGTAAAGCTAACTTCATGATGTAGTTGCATCCACTAAACAGAGGATTATGTTCATATGGGTCATCAGCATGAAGTTATTGAAGTTATCAAAGCAAACATGGCTGGAATACGTTTTACTGTAACCTGTGTCTCTAAGTGTGTGCTGCTGCTGTGACGAGTGGATGTCCCCACTGTGGGACTAATAAAATGTACTCTATTCTATTCTATTCTATTAATTCATATCAGCCAGTAGGAAAAAAAATGTTTGAGGAATTTTAGCCTTTCCAGGCTTCCGTACCAGTAGTCTCACAAACAGGAAAAACACACTGGTGAAGCGGTGAATAAAAAAAATTAGGTATCCACATCACGAACTAATGTAGGAGAGGGAACATGTGAGCGAGCCACCATGGTAAGAAGCCCAGCTTGCTGTGAGCGAGAGCTGCGATCTCTGGCTGATGAGTGAAAACAAAAGAAAAACATTCGAGACTGAAGCTCCGTCAACACGGCTGCATTTCTAAATAAAGCATGTCATTATGGCGGCGCACGCAGCCGCAGCACATGGTTCTGGAAGAACCGTACGTGCCCGTCCCATCAACAACGTGGAGCTCACTGCTCCGCCCATCTCACAACCAGAGCAGAAAGAAAGCACATCTGCTTGGATTATAAAGATGGGATTATGTGTGAAATAACGCCAGTTAAATTATTACTTAAGTGTTGTTTGTGTGCATGTTGTTCAGTAGCTAATGCCTTCATTAATGTCATCTGGTTTTTTCATAAGCCCTACACACTGCGTGATGTGCGTTTGGGGAGCGCAGGCGCTGGTTTAGCGTGAGATATTGGAGGTGTGGCGTGAGAGCGTGTGAAGAGGGTCAAATACGTGTATCTCATGCTCAGTGCATGAGTTGGCAGCTCTGGGGTGGGGGGAGGGGGGACTCGTGCTTCACACAAGCAGCTGGTGTGATCACCTCTGAAAAGCATTGATCACAATTTGCAGATCACGTTCATTTTTCACGGAGATCGGCTGCGGATTCCTCTTCCGGTCGGTATTCTAGGAATCAAAATAAAAAACTTTGAACGATTCCGGGGAAGACTAACAGTTGGAACCGGCTCGATGCCTAACCCCCAAATTCCACTACATCCACTCCGCCCCCGCTTTCCGCTGACGCTCGCTTCCGAACTCAATTTTTACTGGTACCCGCTCTACAATGGCTACGCTCCGGTGCGGAGACCTGAGGTGGGCAAACAAGCATGCGTGGGATTTTCGAGATCTTGCGATACAGTCCGAGCAATAAACACGGAAGTTAGATCCAAACACCCGTTGTGTGGGAGAAGCATCGACATGAACTGTTTAATCTGCCCATCATTTGTGTTGAGAGATCAGCAGTGTTTGGATCAACAAAGTGTGACTACTTTGATAGTGGAAACTGTATTTATGGCTTACTTTTGTGCATTTAAAATTCAGCTGCCATTGATAGTTGTTAAAAGTTGTTAAACCTGTGCATGTGAAACAAAAAACGCCTTTTGTTTATCGATCTATTGTGAAATAACGGAAGTTGTGCTTGCTCCCTTTCCTGTTGGGCCGTTGTGATTCCTGTCCATTGACTGCGGAGGTGCTCCGGCGTCCGGCAAAAATAGGATTGATTCTATTTTTGCCGGACGCCGGAACAGAGGGCGGCGCACTGCGCCGCACTGCCGCAGCACGGCCGCAGTAGTGGAATTGCTCTGATTGACTACAACGGGACCAATTTTGCTGCGGAGTTCGTGCCGGAGCGGAGCGGAGCGGAGGTAGTGGAATTTGGGGATGACCCTACTTCCTATTGGCTCCACCACACCAGTCACTGCTTCAACAACACTGGTCTCAAAGGCAATCAAACTTTTATTTCATGTCTCTACATCTATGTCTCGATTTTAGTTTCAGTTGCTATGATAACGTGTGAAATGCACACATGAGCTGATGTATTTATATGCAGAAGATTCATGTGTTAGCCTGTGGGAGGGTTAGGGTTATGGAAAAGCTCAAATGAAATGGTTGTGTGTTGTACACAAAACAACATGAAATCTGCGGTGCCTCCTACCCACTGTACATGCTGCAGTGCAGTTAGCCTTGTTGAGATCTAAGCAGGTGAAGGAACACAGGTCAACTCTTCCAGCCTGGCAGTCTTCCTTTGTCACCAGCACCATGCCTCTGGCACAGCCTGTGGCTTCTTTAAAAGTGTTTACAGATCAACGTTAGAAACAGCAAAATAACCATAACAATGTTGGTGTCATGTTTACTGAAACAATAGTGTACCGGTGCCAGTGGTGCAGGGCTGGTTGTTACAGCTAAGGCTCTGCCGGATCATGCCCGCACAGCCACGCCCACCATTCTTTGGAGGTGGAGCTGAGCAGGTTCGGTTCCTCTGTCTGACTCCTCCTCCACACAGAGCGTTACACACTGACCATTCTGTCCACTCAGACCAATGACCATGAACTACAAGAAAGACAAGAGCACATGCTGCTCAGCTTGTTATTAGATCTAGTGCATCCCTGAAGGTGTGAACCATTCAGAACCTGGACATGCTTGAGGAAAGCAAGCTCGACTGTCAAACTGAGCAGCACCACAGGATCCTCCAGCCAGAGCCTCCCTTAATATGTCCCTCTGCCGAAACAACGACCCAAGACCACATGTCACGCTGCAGGCACTCCAGGCTGTCCACGGGGACATTATACAGTCCACTAAGGGGAGGGTAAAGGTTGTAAAAAAAATACAGATAACATATGATCACATATTTACTTTGAATGTATCTACCTACCACAATCTTTTTCATCTGATCCATCTAGACAGTTCCTCTGCTGGTCACACCTGCGATCCTTATGGATACACTCCCCACTTTCACAGAGAAACTGCTTAGCAGAGCAGGGCCTGGGCACCGGAGGTGGGTGGGGAGACACCGTTGGCTCGGTGGGGCTGCCTAAAGAGGAGTGGTCAGAAAATAACTTTGTTGAAGAAAATATAGGAATTCTGAGTTACTGTTGTTGAATGGAGACTAGTTTCAGGCTTGTTAATTAACAACACATTCTCACACCCTAAGTGTCAGAAACAAATGCTTGGTCAGCCACCCTCCACGTCAGACCCCAGACGCCAAAAGTGCCCTTTTTCGTTACTTATGTGCGAAAAGGGGTTTTCCCCTTTTGTAGCTGCAGATCCCAATGCAGCGTAAAACCGACGTGATTAGATATCCGCTGATGCGGCACCGAACCAGCTCATTTAACTGCACCTAAACCTTAAATGCGGCACCGAACCAGCTCATTTAACCGATGCGGCACCAAACCACCTCGTTTAACCGCACCTAAACCTTAACGTTTCGCTATTTATAACCTTCCCCTCTCCCTTATCCTAACCTTAACCCTCTTGCTACCTAAAACGTTACTCTCACTGTGATCAAGCGTTTGTTTCCCCTGCATTCTGACTCTGACAGTCAGAGTCTGACTGTGAATTTTCGTATTTGCCGCCCAAGGGGAACGTTAGAACATACCATCTGGCGAGGGGGAGGTTACACATACCCTCTACTTTTAACCTCCACCTTGGTAGTTGAAACCTCCCCCTCGCGTTGGCTCGGTCCAAACTCGACCAATCACGAGGCGGCTCCCGCCGTTCACTTCATAGAGCCGGCTTTTAGAGCGATCGACACATCACTAACGTGTTCGCTGGCAAGATTGTTAAGGTTAGGATAGGGGTGAGGGGAAGGTTAAATAAGAGGATAAGGTTAAATAAGAGGATAAGGTTAAGGTGAGGTACAATGAGCTTGTTTGGTGCCAGTGTAACGCTGCATTGGGATGCAACGGTAGCGGACATCCCATCGCTTCAGTTTTATGCTGCATTGGGATCTGCAGTCAAATAAGGGAAAACCCCTTTTCGCACATAAGTAACGAAAAAGGGCACTTTTGGCGTCAGGGGTCTGACGTGGAGGGTGGCTGACCAAGCGTTTGTTTTTGACACGCTGGGAGTGAGAAAGTGTTGTAATTAAACAAATCAAGCCTGGATTAGTCACTTTTCTGTGAAAACCTTGACCTCATTCCACTCCTGCACACAGACCTCTGTAGCCCCCTTCAGACAGGCCATGAAAAATGGAAATGTTCAACAACTCTGTCCGTAAGACCTTTGCGTATGAATACAAACATCCGGATAACGTTTTCTGTAATTTAACCGGACGACGCCCTTAGTAACAGGTCCGGACTTGTTACGGACAAGGTGGCTCCTTCAGACTGGTGAGGTTGAGTTCCGGACAGGGAGGAGGGGGAGTAGGAGGGGACCGGGGGACGCTTTGTGCACCTAGATAGCCCGCTGCTGTAGCATGCGGCAAACCATGGCAGCTCGCCTCCTACGGTACCGTCTAGACGCGCGACGGAGTGCTTCACATGCTTCAGTGATTCCTTTATCCATTGAGCGTCATCATCCAGGTCTTTTATGCATCTTTGTGTGCGCATAATTATGCTTAACATAAGACCTCTGATTTGTACTGGAAGTCTGAGGTGTACAGGGTGAAAAGGAATGGTGAGAGTACAGTCCCCTGTGGTGCTCCAATGTTACTGATTGCCTGGTTTGATTTGCAGTTCTTCAGCCTCACGATCTGTGGTCTGTTTGTCAGGTAGTCTTTAATCCAGGTGATAGTTGAGGCCCCCACCTGTGTCTTCTGGAGTTTCTGGCAAAGTACATCAGGCTGAATTATGTTAAATGCACTGGAGAAATCAAAGAACATGACCCTCACAGTGCTGCCTGCTTTGTCCAGATGACAAAGCAGCTGGATGACGGCATCTTCAACTCCAACTCCATGACGATAAGCAAACTGCAGCGGGTCCTGATATGTTCTAGTTTGCTTATTCAGGTGGATCAACAGGAGTTTCTCAAGGACCCTCATGATGTGGGATGTCAGGGCAACCGGTCTGTAGTCATCATTGACTGATGGGCTAGTTTTCTTTGGAACTGGAACAAGGCAGGATGTCTTCCACAGAACTGGAACCTTCTCCTGGGCCAGGCTGAGGTTGAAGAGGTGCTGCAGAATCCCACAGAACTGATCTGCACAGGCCTTCAGTACTCTGGGGCTGACACCATCTGGACCTGCAGCCTCGTTCCTGTTCAGTCTCTCCAGCTGCATCTTCACCTGACTTCTAGAGACAGATAGGTGGGAGGGGGAGGTAAATGGGGCAGCAGCATCTCCTGACTTGGTTGAAGACAGATTTATAGTACCAGGAGAGTCCATGACTGCGTTAGAGGACAAAAGAGCTGGCGTGTGACAGGAAAATGTTGGATCAGAGGAGGATGGGATGTCTGATTGGCTGGTGACAGGCGAGAAGGATGCTGCTGAACTGAACCTATTGAAGAACTTGTTCAGTTCATTGGCTGTGTCCAGGCTGCCATCTGTGCAATCCTTCCTCTGCTTGAAGCCTGTGATCTTCTTCATCCCTGACCAGACATCCCTGATATTGTTCCTCTGTAGTTTGTTCTCCAGCTTCTTCCTATATGCCTCCTTGCTGTCTCTGATCTTGATCTTCAGTTGCTTCTGTATACTCCTCAATAATTCCCTGTCTCCCTCCTTGAAGGCTCTTTTTTCTCATTTTGCAGATTCTTCAGTTCACTGGTGATCCAGGGTTTGTTATTAGCGAAGCAACTCACTGTTCTGGTGGGTATGATGATGTCCACACAGAAGTTTATATAGTCAGTGACACATCCAGTCATTGCATTGATGTCCTCTTCATATCCTTGGCAGAGAGTCATCCAATCTGTGGTCTCCAAACAACCCTGCAGGGCTTCTTCAGCGTACTGTGACCATTTTCGCACAGTTCTTCTTGTCACAGGTTGCCTCTGAACAAGTGGTTTGTATTATGAGCAGAGAAAAGCAAAATTGTGATCTGATTGTCCCAGAGGAGGTCTTGTTTTGGACATGTATGCATTCATTACATTTGCATAACACAAATCCAATGTCTTGTTTTCTCTGGTGGAGCAGCTGACAAACTGTTGAAATGTTGGAAGTGTAGCAGAGAGCGAGGCATGATTAAAATCACCAGATATAGCCACAAATGCATTGGGGTGCTGGGTTTGTAGCTTATCGACAACGGAACTGATGGCATCACATGCATTTTCAGCAATGGCTGAAGGTGGAATATAAACGGTTGCCAAGAGAACACTGGTGAACAATCTTGGCAAATAATATGGGCGACAACTTACTGCCAAGAGTTCAAACATCTGGGCTGCAGAGACGACATTTCACTGAAACATGACATGGATGGCACCATCTGTTGTTGACAAGCACTGCCACTCCACCTCATTTTCTTTTCCCGCTCCTCTTCAGATCTCTGTCTGCTCGTACAGTCAGGAATCCTGGCAGGGAGACGTTGGAATCGGGGATATGATCCTGCAGCCACGTCTCAGTGAAACACATAACACTGCACTGCAGATACTCTGGCTGAGTCCTTGAAAGGGCTTGGAGTTCATCCATCTTGTTGGCCAGTGACCTCACATTGCCCATTATGACCGATGAAAGAGATGGTTTGAATTTCCTCTTTCTCTGTCTCCGTTTTGCTCCCGCTCTGCATCCACGCTTCTTGCATTTTAGCTCATTTGGGATTTGTGGCTTCAGTTGAGGTATTACTTCAGCCTTTCCAATGTTAATCAGCTGCTCCCAATTGTAAACTAGCTTGTTGCCATGGTTACCCATCATAACAAATGCTCAAAAAGTAAAAAAAACAGCAGTAAAAAATCCTCTTTGCTTCACAGCACCGGAAACAGAAAAGTAAAAGGTCTAAAAAATAGTTTTTCTTAAGACGCTAGAAAAAAAAAGTCCAAAAAAGGCAAAACTTACATGCAGTTAACAGAGCTACTCCAACATGCAGCCACCCAGAGCAGCGCGAAAATTGGAAGTATCACAAGTCAAGGCCTTGAGATTTAACAGATAGAGTTAGCCTGGTGGTTGGCTTGCGACAACTGATATATATATATATATATATATATATATATATATATATATATATATATATATATATATATATATATATATATATTTATATATATATATATATATATATATTTATATAAACACCAATAATAATACTAGGGGTTTAAAGGCTATGAACCAAAGACAATGTAAGCCAGAGGTGAAGGTTTATGCGTTTAACAAATGATCATCATGCTGCTGTAAAACCTAATCCGGGTCAGAATTATCATCTCATCTGTCTCATGATCAGCAACAGCTGGATGTTTATGACCACAAACTGGAGCACACTCCTCTTCCACCTATCCATCCATCCATCCATTTTCATCCGCTTATCCGGCGTCAGGTCGCGGGGGCAATAGCCTAAGGCAAGAGGCCCTGACTTCCCTCTCCCCAGCCACTTGGGCCAGCTCCTCCGGGGGAATCCCAAGGCGTTCCCTGGCCAGGTGAGAGACATAGTCCCTCCACCGTGTCCTGGGTCTACCTTTAGTTCTCCTCCCGGTTGGACGTGCCCGGAAAACCTCACCAGGGAGGCGTCCAGGAGGCATCCTGACCAGATGCCCGAGCCACCTCAACTGGCTCGTCTCGATGTGGAGGAGCAGTGGGTCTACTCCGAGCCCCTCCCGAATGACCAAGCTTCTCACCCTATCTCTAAGGGAGAACCCAGCCACTCTTCGGGGAAATCCCATTTCGGCCGCTTGTATCCGCACTCTCATTCTTTCGGTCACTACCCAAAGCTCATGACCATAGGTGAGAGTAGGAATGTAGATCGACCGGTAAATCAAGAGCTTCGTCTTCTGACTCAGCTCTCTCTTCACCACGACAGACCGGTACAATGCCCGCATCACTGCAGATGCAGCACCAATCCGCCTATCGATCTCATGCTCCAGTT